TGTGTGTGTGTGTGTGCGTGTGTGTGTGTATGTGTGTGGTACATGTAGCTGACTCAGCCTGATCTCCACCCTTGTACTGAGACCCTCGTAGACCAGAACAGACATCCGACAACATGCTGACATGTTCCCGTCGGTCATGTCTCATAACAAAAAAACTGTAAGGTGACTATTCTATCATGCATGAATCAAACAGAGGCTGCTCGTTACCTAAACCATCACTAATGAGTCGGGAGCGAGAAGAAGGGTCCTGCATTGCGCCCGTCTTAACTAACTGAAAGGATACAACGTGCAGTGTCATGTTGTTGCCAATCTACGGAACTCAGACTATCTTAAATGCACATTTCATAATTTCAACTGTTACAGTGTGTTATTGTTGTTCGAGCCACATGAAGCTGTGAGACTCATAAGCCCAGTTGCCGACCTTGCTTTTCTTTTCCTCCTTTAGCACTCCTCTAAGACGGTTCTCTGTTGTGTTCTGTGGCAGTCTGGTATGTGCATGAGTGTGTGTGTGTGTGAGTGAGTAGTGTAAGAAGCTGTGCAGTCAAACACTGCCTCCTCTGTATGTGCCGGTTTGCATTTGCAAACTCTCTCTTCATGAGTAAGTGTTAGTAGGTTTAAATACCATTTAGTGTGATGACACCAATTCCACCAAAATGATCAAGGAGATATTTTTAAAGGGTCACTCTAACTCTAATAAAACTCTAACTCTAATAAAACTCTAACTCTAATTTTGATTTAATTTGCAGGTTATCTCCAAAACTGCGCAAAACCCCAATGAATAATACGATCATGCAACATGTCTTTGAAAAAGCGATATCCTCATTAATCTCAATACCCAGCAGACCTTACAATGAACAGACGTCTTTATCTTTTGTTTAATTGGTAAATTGTTTCGCTGATAAAGTCTCCAAACATCTTCAAACAGTTATCAGTTAGTTAATCTGATCTTTCCCTACACTTAAGTTAAACGTTCACACATATCAGTTCCCTGAAGCTTATTTTGCCTTATTTTTCCCATTAAGATCCAGGAATTACGATGAAAAATCGTGCAATGTTAAAGAAAGCGAAAAAAAAAATCCTGTATCTGCCTCCTGATCTGTATCTGCACCAAAACGTAATGACTTCTTCCCTGACCCTTTCCGCACCCTTCCAAAAAATGTTGTGGTAATCGGTCCGGTAGTTTTTTGCATAATCCTGCTAAATAAACAAACGCCAGTGAAAACATTTAGTTTTTTCTCCAAAGAAACAATTTAACTAAGGATCTACTTTCTGCTGTAAAAACAGTCTGAAACGAAAACTGCGTCATGTTTATAATCCAGATTGACCGGGACATTTTTATTCTGTGAGCAGCACAAACAAAGGTCCAGTCACTGCAGAGGTTCTGACGTGGAGGCAGAAATCTCAAAGACGGATATCTCAAAATAGGAGTGAATAAAACTACAACTATTTCCATGTCTAGGTACCATCAGAGGCAAAAATTTACAAGAAGTCCAAACAAACACTCGGTAAACAATTCCGATACCAAAACAGTAAAAGTAGATAAGGGCATGGTTACGTAAACTTTCCTTATATGTGGGAATGTGATTTCTGCTGAGATCTCATGGATTTGGGAAACGCAGATACACCCACACCTGGCGGAGATCAAATATTCCTCTGATGTGACGCCATGCTGCGAGAGACGAAACCACCATTTTATGAGGACAGTAAATTTAAAAATAGTAAAAAAGACTCTGACAGTTACAGTGATCGAGTCGATGAATTTATGCGTCCCTTTACGTTCCCCTGTCATCACCTCTACAGATGGCCCTGTGTGCCGTCTGTGCGAGAGTATAAATGAGATGGTCTGCTCTTTTTAATAACGCATACATACGTCTGACGTGTCAAAAGACATGTCATTAAAGAGGAAAAGTACCACAAGGAAGTGTGTGTGTGCACCCTAATGTCTTTGCACGTGTGCACTTTTTTTCATGTGCACGTGTGATAAGGCTGAGCTGCAACGTCTGAATCTTGGAGCTCAAAGGTTTCCTTCATCTCCAGCAGGACTCTACAGGTATGCGACCCCCCCGTCTCCCCCTTACATCTCCCCCCCCACTCTCTCAGCCAACCTCCCCCCCTGTGGTTCAGCCTTCACCAACAAGGCCGGTATTGTAGTGAGGGTAAAACGATAGCGCTCAGGGACGGGTTCAGCTATGTGGTTACCCAGACAACCCCCCTCCTCTCGCCCCCTTCCCCACCTTCAGTCCCCCCCGCACTCTTCCCGACTGGATCCCTTCATCTCGCTGAGGAGGACAAAGCCGGTCACACAGAGACAAAGAGCACGAGGTCAGAGAGGATAGAAGTTATTCTTTCATAGAGAGATTTGAGCCGGTTGTGTGGTGCGTTGAGATATACGCACTGTTTGATAAACAGAAAGGACCGACAGTGATGATGAGCAGTTGGATTTAGAGCAAAAGTTTAAAATCACAAAAGAAAACGCCAACAGCAGCATGGCTCTTTGATTTTGTGAAACATTGCTGTTCATTGACAGTTGTTATTTTCATCAAAAGTGCTTGGTAAGTCTTGTTTCCTCTAACTGTGTGTGTTTGTGTGCGTCCCACCTTGTGCGTGTATCTCTTGGTCACCGTTTCGTGGACTGCTGCGGAGTCGTCTCTCCGGCTTCTTCCCTCCTGGACTGCCGATTCCTCCCCCTGACCCCAATGACGCGAGCAATGGGGCGTGTGATTTGTTGCTGTGCCACAAAATCAATTAAAAAAAAAATTAAAATATTTTTTTCAACATTTTATAAACATGAGCAAAAAAATAAATGATAATCATCATAAAACCACAAATATTTTGTGACGGAAAAACTATGTAATGAAATAATACGACAAATGTTTCTATAAAATAAAAGTTTTCACATGGGCACACATCAACAAACACTGATACCCCATTGATAAGTTGGTCACCTGTATCCGTTGTGTGCTGGCCCCAGGCTGCCCTTATACAGAGTGGAGGGAGGGGAGTTGAGGCGGTTCTGTCGCTCCAGTTGTCTCTGTTCCTTTATCTTTTTGGGCTGTGGCTTACTGTACTCCTCTCTGCCTATGTAGTTAGACATCCCATAAACTGGAATGATTTCTGCGGGAGAGGAGGAGAGGAAGATGGGGGAAGAGGATTTACAGTATGTTAGACAAAAAAATCTGTGCAAAGCATATTTTAAATTGGATTAATAATTCCACATTAAAACCCCGGTTTTTTTGGACGTAGCCACAGAGTCCGGTCAGCGTGTCAGTACCTGGGTCGCCGTACATGGGGGGAAGGTGGTGCTGGTAGTACTGGTGGGGGGGCAGCTCTCCCGGGCTGACAGGGGGGTAGAAAGAGTGAGAGTTGGGGATGAAGTGGGGGTGAGTCAGGTAGGGGGGCAGGTGATGTGTGGGGGAGAGGGCTGGAGAGTAGGAGGGAGGGTAGCACTCTGGAGACTGGGGCGTCACCACCACCCGGCGGACCCCTGTGGTGTCCTCCAGCACCTGCGGGAGAGAGGAGAGAAAGAGGCAGGAGGGTGACAGGAAGAACAAATAAAATAGATTAGATTCTTTATTCATATTATCACATAATTGAAGAGGATCTAGTTTCTACATATGATAAAATCTAATCTAAAATACCTACATTTCTCCAAAATGTCCTAAAGAAATAGGTTTAACATTTTCTTTTGCTGGTGGTCTCCTTAAAGGCAAGACAGTGAAAAAGCATAACTCCCCAAATATCAAACTCTTCCTACTATTCCTTTAAAATCTTCTTTACGATTATTTTTCAAGCTATTTTAAAGATTTGAATATTCTAGTTCAATAAAGTGTACTTTACTGTGTATAGTTTTGTGAAAGTGAGCGTCCTGTGGTGGAGTGATGGAAATCTAATAAATGAATTGCACAATGTATTCAACACATGAGAACATGGTGCCAACAGAACTCTTTGTCCTTTATAGCGATGAGAACAAGTTCTGCTATGTTGTCATCAGATGGTCGGCAGATTTCAATAACAACAAGTTTCAAAGAACTGTGTCAAATTAACATGTATTCACTTTCACATTCCCGGACCGGAACACACATGAACACACACACAGACACACACACACACAGCAACAACTATTCAGACACTTTCACAGGCCTGCATTCCAAGCAGAGAGCAAACACACACTCCCCACTGAGAGGGGAAGTCATCTGCTGGTCCCTAACAACAACAACAACACACACACACACACAGA